ACTTTTGCCTGTTCTTTAAAAAAAAACTTCCGCCACCTTGGGAAAATAGTTTTATTAGGAATTCCATTAGGAACAAGTATGCATGTAATCTCATCTGTATAAGAACACATGCGACAGATATCCTAATCTGGTTTATGAAAGATTGAAACATGATTTTGTAGTTCTACGAAAACAAAGATATGCTTATTCCTAAATTTGCTAAGCTAACCAAACTACACTTTTGTAAGTTATTATAACCCAGAAAATGTTTATACAAAACGGATTTTGTATTAGTTACGTATTGTGGCATGGGTGAGGCTCCGAGACAAAGCTCTACGTTGTTGTTGGCTCCGGGTGAAAATCCTACTCCGTTTTCTCGGGTAATGGAGAAGCTTCGGTTGGGCCAACCTATCACCATTGTTCTCATGCTCAATGGCGGCGTCGTGTCATGTCATCATCCTCTTGGGGGCATCGCCCTAGAGCTCTGGTACCCTCTGGGTGCAGCTTGCCGGCAACTTCGGCTATGTTTTGAGCCTGGTGCCTAGCTTCCACAACTCTAGCATGGGGGTGGTCTCAGTTATCACCGCCCGTCATTCTCGGTCCTCGCTATCCCTTGGCTGGATTGATGTTCCATGGCCAGAGTGAGAGGGCAGACGACCATCTTCGACGATAGCTTGATGTGTTGAATGCAACAAAAAGACCATCGAATTTTCAATGAGGCACGGTTCCGTTCCTGCTTGATAGTCTCGTTATCTTGTTTGTTAGTAGGTGTGATGTCTCATATATTAAGTTTAGTTTTGAGTTGGTGGCGTTTAATACTCGCTCCGATGTCACTTTTTTTACATGCATGTATGAGGGTGTCCCGACCATTTTATACTGTTTGGGTAGTTGTCGGGCTTTATGATAAAACAATACGGAAGCCTATTTCAAATAAATGTAAAACTGTACTACTTGGTCCTTAGCAGCTTTGCCTTCCCTCACATTCTCTTCAGAAAAACTTTGCCTATTAGAGCAACTCTAGCAGCGTCGCTGTATTGACACTCTCAAGCTTCATATGCGTATGAACTTACAGAGGTTATCAAGGTGATGTATGAACTCAGAGTCTCCATATTTGTTGTCTTTATAATCATGAGGCCCACTTGACAATGAAACATACGTCCTCCCTAATCTCGCTGCCATCCTACGTTAGGTGGGGGAGCAAGTGAAGTTTCTTTCATGTGCAGTTGCCATATAGAGTGCACCTCGAAAGGCAGCTTGAAACAGTAAATGTCGAGGCTGCGAGGATAGATATGACAAGGTTAGTTTTTTTTTTTTGTGTGGTCAAAAAGACAGTATTAACCGTTATTATGATCACTTCTTAGACGACGGGCACTCTCAATCCATCTGGTGTGTATGGGAGGGCACAGCCAGCTTCACGCGGTTTCGCGACGGCTCGATCCAGCCCGTTCCGGAGAGACGTGCGTAGCTGGGGCGACGCGGCGGTGCCGGACGCGGATCCTCTGCCGTGCGGCAGGGTGCCGTTCGGCGATTGACAGATGGGCTCGCTGTGAATCAGTCCCACATGCTAGTGTTCCCAACGGCGTGTAACGTACGTCAGGGGAGCTGCTTCCGGCGGTGCCTGGTCCGTGCGAAAAAGCCGTCCGGGGACGTGACAAAAATGGGCATAACCAATGAACCACAGGATTACTCCTGTACACAGCTCTGTTCCACACCTGCATTCGCCGCGTCGAAGGGCCCAAGTTTTCTTGGCTGCTCCCAACTGCATAAATATGCACAGTTACACTGCACACGCCCCTGTCTTTTCCCTCCGGAGCAAGCAAGCTAGCTCAGCTGGCGGGGCTGCTCGCAAGCAGTCCCGGCCGGTGCACCTACGCGGGCGCGCGAGCTTGTCAACTGCAATCTACTCGTTTTCATTCTATTTGTCATTCGTGTTTTCCAGTGGTGCACTTTTGGGTTTTCTAATACTAATCTGCAAGCAAGCGAGCCGGCGCTGATCTGCTCTTGCACCCGACGAGATGATGGGACGGTGTATGCTGACCAGTCACCAGAGGCAAAGGGGTCTGCATGTGCATGCAACATGCATATGGTCCCTCGTAGTATCATCAGTCGTGTCTGATCCCAGGTCCGCCAAGTTGTTGTTTGCCATTAGTACGTACAAAAAAAGGGTCCGCCAACTCGATCCACACCACACCACATGGTCGCTTGTGTTTACTCGTTCCGGATCGCGGGCGGTGCTCGATCCGATCGGCACATATGTCAACGGAGGACCAAGTTTCATCACAGGAGAAACATAAAATAAAACGGCAGACGCGTCAACTACTCCAACAAGTAGCGTAGCAAGTGCGTGCAATATTTTGGATAAGCGGTGATGTCATGATTTTGTGGTGGTGTAGCGTGTACGTATGGCATTTGCCTTCATACGTCCCGTGTGAGCACCGAGGACGTGCCTCTGGGATTACTGTATTGTATTCCCAAATCTTTACAGTCGTGTCGTTGAATTAGCCTATTCTTTTTCTCTTACTTTGTTCCTTTCCAACCGTTGGATTTCGATCGAGCAACTGCCCCACCTTCTTCCTTCTTGCCCTGCCCGACAACCACGCCTCCTATGCTGCCCAACCCTCCGACCCAAGCATACTGGTTGGCCTGAACCGCTGGCGGCTAGCGACACTGTCGGGCCGCCAAGTCGCCCCTACCATCGTGCCGCCGCCGAGCCAATCATACTTCTATGCGCCCCCTTCCTTCTTCTCCGGCGTGGATGGTCCATCGTCCCGCGCCTGCACTCGCATTCAGAGTTGTCAACCTCCGCCATGCTGCGATACCATGGCCAGTTGCGTTGCCGCCAGCTCCGACTTGTTCCTAGCGAGCCTTGGCTGTGGCATTCCCATATCCGGCTCAGCAACGCCTCTTCTCTCGCTTCTATCTAAAGTCGACATATTCTACTTTTGTTTTTGTGCACCGAGGATTAGCACATTCGAACAAAATAACTATGTTCTACTCACTTTACATCAAAACATGACATTGTAGTTATCTCGAAAGTCTAATCAATATACATCTTGATAATGTTTATGAAAATAGATGTTAATATCTATAACGACAAATATCTATATATCGTACGAAAGTATTTCTATGATGTGCATCAGATAAAACACAACTAAAACGAATGCTCCAAGTTCACAAGACATTACACGTTGTTGTGGAGACAGAGATGAATGGGGGTAGGAAGGGAAGAGAAAGAAATGGAGGACCTCAGTGACAAGGTGGCAATGACGACATCCAGGTGCCTAGCTAGAGGGCGATGGTTAACACACTCTCTGCTAGACTAGTGAAACGACTAGAGTTTGTTTCGCATGGATGTGGAATTATTTTCTATTAACAAAACAGATTTCTACCCAATTTCATTAACGAAACCGAACTATGTTATGGCCACCAAGACAGAAAAAAGAAGAGCAGCTCTAGCAGAATTGTAGGAAGTGCTCAAACACAAGAGCAAAGTTCTCAGGAGCATGCACTATTACCACAAAAGATTACAAGCACATGAGCAATGCTAAATGCACGGATTATTTTTAAAAAGTATTACAGAGTGGCTTACCTTGCTGATTTTGATTGGGTAGCAATAAACTGACGGGCCCATCCCCACTGAAAATCAAGGGGCAGAGAAGATTAGTTTTTGGAAACAGGCCCATGATGCTCCGTAAATCGTCCGTGTCTGTAGGATTTTCGCAAGCACATAGCGTCTCCAGCATTGCAGGGGAACACGGCAGGTAGAGGACCGCAGAGCAAGGAAAGACGTCGTGGATGAACATTTCATCTATCGATATGCCGTCCCAACGATGCCCATCCTTTGCTCGATCAAACACCTCGGCCAATCGTCAATGTAATTTATCCCCGCAAAAAACATCATCAATGTAATTTCCTTTTGATCGGCAATGACATGAGTCCGTATTGAGGTTAGTCCTAGTTTCAGAAAAACGACACGCGCACCCGCGTACGACTGTAAAAACACTGACGATCGATCGAGACGCGTGGTGCCTGTACCTCCACGGAGAAATTCCATAGCTACATATACATGTGGTGCAGCAATTTAGGTGAACGCGGCAAGACATTTTCGGGCTAGAGAAGAGGAGCAGAGCGAAAAATCGGAAATTTGGAGTCGTGCGACTTCTTGTGGCGCAAGACTCGTCGTGGACTAGCCTATCAAATCAGTGCAACAACCTACTACTGTTTGGGTCCCACGGCAACGGACACCGCGAGCCAAAAATTAAATAAGCTTCCGTCCCATTTCGCGGGCCCTTCCGTCCAACCGCGTTCAGGCTACCTGGGTCCTGGGGAGCAAGCTTGAGCGATCATTCTAACTGACGCGAGCGAACACACAAGATTCTGCCTTTTCAGACCTGCGCTTCAGCCGGGCCGACGCCGATCGCGACTTGGCTCCAAGTCCAGACGTCAACAACGACGTGGCGTACCCGGCTGCTATCACCTGCGACCAGTACCCCATCATCATCACTAGTATAAAAGGCCAACAATCCACGGAACCCAACAACATCCACAACCAATTCCGAGTCCCAGAATCCACATCTCATCTCCTCCATCAGTTCCGCAGATCGCACGAACTCTCGTTGAGCAGCTCATACCGGACTAGCTAGCTAGCCGCGCGCTCATGGTTTTGTCTATGAAGCACTGCAGAGATCAGGCCCAGGAGGTGCCCTTGTCCCTCTCGCTCTCCCTCGGCGCCATGGCCGACCGCACCAAGAAGCAGCGCCGCGGCGTCGCTGCCGGCGAGTTCGTGTGCAAGACGTGCAGCCGCGCCTTCCCGTCGTTCCAGGCGCTGGGCGGGCACCGGACAAGTCACCTGCGCGGCCGCCACGGGCTCGCGCTCGGCCTTGCCGCCGGGATCAATGAGCCGTCGTCGACCAAGAAGACGGTGGACCAGAAGCAGGCGCACCAGTGCCACGTCTGCGGGCTTGAGTTCGAGATGGGCCAGGCGCTCGGCGGCCACATGCGCCGGCACCGCGAGCAGGAGTCCGCCACCGCGGCGCAGGCACCGCCCGTTCTGCTCCAGCTCTTCGTCTAGCACCGCACTCATTTCTCTCAAGTTCAATACACTAGCTAGGCATATCTAGTTCTAGTCCAGATTTACAGGTTGATCTATGTGCGCGGTTTGGTTTGTACATTTGCTGCACACTAGTTGGCCTTGATCGTTGTCCGATCGCTCATTTTATTAGGGAGTACATATTTTAGGACTCATGCATTCGTTCATTACTCATATTATCTATTGGTGCCTTCTTGATTCGTACATTTATTTTGTTCTACTTGAATCGACTACGAGTTTGAGTTAATCGGCCTAATGAAGACCTCCCTAACACGGATTTTCTTTTCTTGAAAAGGAGCCAAGCCGTGATCTCGGCATATGCATCAATTGACACACACAACTATTTCAGAAGTGAATCTAAAAAGTTATATGGAGAGGTGAGTTTGTGGTGAGAGGTGGAACTGGCGGGCCGATTGTCACATCGTAGATTTGGAGTGTAGATGATGCGGTGATTATGTGTAGCGAGAGCTCTGTGGTGGGGACACCTGATATTTGGAGCATTGGTATTCATGTTGAGAGGCATAGTACGTGGTATGTACACATAACGAAGCAAGCAAGAATTTATGTTCAGATATGCTTGGGAGAGCATGCATGATGTCGATTTCATAGCGTGCTTAGGTCTAACGAGCGAAAGGAGTTGAATCACTGGCTCACTTGTCGGCGCCAACATTTGTATGAGAGAGGATGGATGAGACGCGATCACCAACTCCCATTTGAAGGTACTGCAGGGTCAATTCGCTGGGCACATTTGTCGGCGCCATCATTTGTTTGAGAGAGGATGGAGGGCGTGCAATCATCTATTCGAAATATTAGCATTTTTCTGATTAGACTTATCCATGAGTAAACAATAAGCATGGCATAAAAGGTATGCATCTCATAGCGATACCTAAGCATACTAGCACGTAGAGAACATAGAATCGAACCGTCTATGAGCAGCACATATACGGCTAGCATAAGTACGAGTAAACGAGGGATGAACAGATCATACCCTTCAGTTGGCCAGGCCAACGCGGCGGCGGCGGCAGCAGCCTCGGCGTCGTCCGTGGCCTTCTTCTTGGAGGCTGCGTCGTCGGCTATGGTGTCGATGCAGGGGAAGTAGTGCAAGCAGAGGCGGACGAAGTTGGGGACGGATCGGGAGCAGTCGCGTCGAGACGCTCCCCAAAAACCTTATTGCCGTTCTCCCGGGCAGGATCTCGAACGACAGGATTCCGGAGGCACCTGCTCTCCCGACCAACCGTGCACGCGGTCATCGGGATGGGATCGTCGGAAGCAGCACAGAGAGAGGAACAGTAGCTGGCGGCTATGGTTGTACGAGAGGGAATGAGTGAACTGAGTTAGGGTTCACTCCACTGGCCAGTGCCTTCTTATATAGGTATAGGCCGTCAGGTAGATGGGCCTGGGCCAGGCCCACGATCGAGTCCGCGAACAGCCCACTGTCCAACGTCTCAGACAGTGGCGCTTCCGTAAGCGACTCGTTAATTAATTAACAATTAATCAACCATTCATGAGCGGCAAAAATAAGCTTCGGTTCGGCTCATTCCCGCAACCCACGGCGCGCACGCGCGTCGTGACGAGGCGTGGCATGGCGAGGCGAGGCGGGCGGCGGAGGAGGAGGAGCGCGCGTGTACAGCTCCTATTCCCAAGCTCCCAATAGCAAGTGGTAGAGCAGCCCTTATAAAGAGGTCTCACTCTTCTTACCGTAGCAGTATGGGACTAAACTTCCAACACTTCCCACCACTTGCCGTACACATGCATGGGCCTTAGAGATTAACTAGGGATTAGTGTCTTATATGGGCCTAAGCCCATCCATAATCCAACAATCCCCCACCAGATCTCGAGGCACATAAGTTTTTTCAACTGTTCCAAACAATGTTTGATATAACAGAATTTTCAGTGGAGACTGTTAAGTTGAACTTCCACCTAGAGCAACAGGATTAGACTTCTTCACAACTGAACAATGGACTATGCCTTGAATTGTCAGTTTGGCGTGCAGAAGTTTCGCCTATTGTCAGCTGATACATAGCTGCCGAAGGCTAAACCCCACAGGTGGAGCCTATTAGTCATACTCCGTACCTTCTCATGAGCTTACTAGAGATTACCCAATCTCATAGACTGTGACCAGCAGTCAGGCTCACATAGGTGTGTTCCTTCAAAGAATGCTCTGTAGGTTAGCATCTTGCTTACATAAGCTTTGGAACACATTAAGACAAAAGTTAGCCTGCCTTACAGAATTGAGAGTATTACTTCATCTCCAACGGAGTGGGTTTATTAAGGATACTCTCCTCAGTTGACCGCTGGATTGTTTTCCCAGGTCCTAATTCATGGGATCTCCGATCGCATAGGTTGGGTTACCCCCATGGCAACTTACGTGGGTCTTATACCTATCTTCCTCGATGCATTTTCTATCACAATCCGTGATAGCCCTTTCGTAAAAGGGTCTGCCAGATTCTTAGCCGTCTGGATATAATCCAACGCTATTACTCCGAAGTTTCTTGATTTTCTGACATATTTCAATCTTCTTCTTATGTGCTTTGTGGATTTCATGTTGTCCTTTGAACTCTTAGCCTTGGCAATCACTGTTTGATTGTCACAGTTCATAAGGACAACCGGCACTGGTTTATCAATCACCGGCAAATCCATCAAAAGCTCTCGAAGCCATTCTGCTTCGACGCATGATGTGTCTAATGCTGTGAGTTCTGCTTCCATAGTCGATCTGGTTAAGATCGTCTGCTTGCAAGACTTCCAGGAAACAGCACCACCACCAAGTGTGAAGACATGTCCACTTGTGGCTTTCATCTCATCAGCATCAGATATCCAATTCGGATCACTATACCCCTCAAGTACCGTCGGGTACCCAGAATAGTGAATTCCATAGTTCGAAGTACCTTGCAAATAACGCATCACTCGCTCTACAGCATGCCAATGCACAGCTCCCGGATTGGAAACAAACCGGCTCAGTTTGCACACAACAAATGAGATGTCAGGACGAGTAGCACATGCTAGGTACATCAGTGAACCAACCACTTGAGAATATCTCAATTGATCTACAACCGTGCCTTCAAACTTTCGAATCCGCACGCTAGGATCATATGGTGTTGCAGAAGGTTGCAGTCCGAATATCCAAAACGGCTCAAAATCTTCTCAACATAGTGGGATTGCAAAAGTGTAATTCCACCCTCAGAATTTCTCAGTAGCTTGATGTTCAGGATAACATCAGCCACACCCAGGTCCTTCATCTCAAAGTTGTGAGATAGAAAAGACTTGACCTCCTCAATGACCCTGAGGTGAGTCCCAAATATCAGTATGTCATCGACATACAAACACGGTATAACTCCTTTGCCCCCACCATAGCGATAGTATACACATTTGTCAGCTTCGTTCACAACAAAGCCAACAGATGTCAGAGTAGTGTTGAACTTCTCATGCCATTGCTTAGGCGCTTGTTTCAGGCCATACAAAGATTTCACTAGCTTACACACCTTTCCTTCCTGACCATTTACTACAAAGCCATCCGGCTGTTGCATGTAAATTTCCTCGTCTAGCTCTCTATTAAGGAAAGCCATCTTAACGTCCATCTGATGAACGAGAAGACCATGCGAGACAGCCAAAGCGAGTAACACTCGAACGGTTGTCAGTCTAGCCACAGGTGAATAAGTGTCAAAGAAATTCTCTTCTTCTTTCTGGGTATAACCCTTGGCCACAAGCCTAGCCTTGTACTTATCAACAGTACCATCGGGCCTAAACTTCCTTTTGAACAGCCACTTACATCCTAATGGTCGACAACCATAAGGGCGATCAGTGATCTCCTATGTCCCGTTAGCCAAGATGGAATCCATCTCACTACGGACCACATCCTTCCAGTAGTCAGCATCCGGAGATGCATAAGCTTCTGAAATGGAGCTAGGAGTATCATCATCCACGAGGTATACGAGAAAATCATCACCAAAGGACTTTGCAGTCATCTGTGTCTTGCTCCTATCAGGAACTTTCTTATCATCCTCCGTGGAACTCTCGTCACTTTTATGTTCATAGTATTCCATCGGAATAGCAGGTTCAGGAGTCTCATCAGATCCCAGTCTAGAAACGCTTTGCATATCTCTCATGGGGAAAATATCCTCAAAGAATGTAGCATCCCTAGACTCTATAATTGTACCGACCTTCTGGTCAGGTACCTCAGATTTCACCACTAGAAATCTATAGCCAACGCTATGCTTGGCATAGCCAAGAAAAACATAGTCCACGGTCTTTGGTCCCAACTTGCGCTTTTTAATTATCGGCACATTGACTTTCGCCAAACAGCCCCAAGTGCGCAAGTAAGAGAGTGTAGTTCTTTTCTTTTCTCATTGCTCATAGGGAGTAGTTTCATTATCCTTTGTGGGAACTTTATTCAGGACATGACAAGATGTCAATACAGCTTCCCCCCACCATGCCTTGGATAAACCCGATGTATCTAACATGGTGTTAGCCAAATCAGTTAGAGTACGGTTTTTCCGTCCGGCAACCCCGTTTGACTGGGGTGAGTAGGGAGGCGTCCTCTCATGAATAATACCATGTTCCGCACAGAATAAATCAAACTCATTAGAAAAGTACTCTCCACCATGATCAGACCGGACTCGTTTTATTTTCTTCTCAAGTTGGTTCTCAACTTCAGCCTTATAGACTTTAAAGTAGTATAGAGCCTCATCCTTAGTATTTAACAAATACACATAGCAGAATCTAGTGGAATCATCAATCAGAGTCATGAAGTATTTCTTTCCACCTTTAGTCAACACACCATTCATCTCACAGAGATCTGAATGTATGAGCTCTAGAGGTGCCAGGTGTCTCTCCTTCGCAGGCTTGTGAGGCTTACGAGGTTGCTTAGCTTGCACACACACATGACACTTAGAGCCTTTGGCTAAAGTGAAACTCGGGATTAAATCCATCTTAGCTAGCCGCGTCATACAACCGAAATTTATGTGACAAAGACGTGAATGCCAAAC